TCATTTTCGGCTGTTAAAATAATTGTGGGACACCCTGTATATGTATATGGCATCTCAGTCACTACTTCCAAGCTAGAACGCCAGAAGGCGCCTGGTTCAGCAGCTAGCATCATCGTTGGTCGCCAGGAGGCGCCCACGCAAGCAAAAACGTATGCTGCATCTCCTCTATTGTAAAGACGCGCGCAACATGCTTTTTCGAATTTTCGATTGCATTTCACATTGCATTGTATTGCTACGTGTTGAATATTGTTGTTAGTTTATAACAAAGTCTTGTTATTGCTTTATTGTTATAGTTTCTCATTAAACGTTGTGTTGTTACTTTGTTATCCCGTTGCTCGTTCCTCACACACGTATCCAGTTGAAGCGAATAAATTTGAAAATCATTATATTAGAAATTATGATGCAAATACGTAACAACAAATAGGTTCAAGTCGAGTTAGTATTGGCGTTACACAACACTCACTAACAGTGACTCAGGTAAGTGTGTGAATGTAATACAAATACCTATATATTATTAGTAATATTATTATTATTATATATATTATATTATAATATATATATATTAGTTAATATATATATTATTAGTTAATATTATATTATTAGTTAATATTATATTATTACAAATAGTTTGTAATACAATTACCTAGTATTATATATTTCTGCATGTGTTTATGAGTGGAAGACATATTTCTAATATACTAATGCATTCGATTAAAGTGAATAAATTATAAGGTATTTCAAAAATCATTATATTAAAAATTATGATATAAATAGGGGATACGACTGATGAACAGCAATCAGATCCAACTCGAGTTAGCTTTGGCATTGGCAGAACACTTCTTAACAGTGACTCAGGTAAATATATATATAAATATTAAATATTCTTCTTTCAAGCCCTATAACGTTTTGAATTTTTTGTTGTACATTGTATTATATAATGCAAGTAATAATCAAAATTGTATCAACAGATAGTAGCTGTACCTATGCCAGAATAATGAGATCATCATCCAAGAAGATGAGGGTCCAAAAATTAAGGGACGTATGGATAAAAGAACCTATTTTGGCATCATAGTTGGCCAGGTCATCAATGAGCAATATTGAAGCCATGTGCTGTGCCTGTAATAAGATGATTCGTGCAAGACGATATGACCTTTTGTATCATGAAAAAACCTTGTACCACCAAGAACAGATGGTTCTTTTAGGAAGAACAGTAGACCCCAAAGCCATGGAGTTAGTATGTGCCTAAATAAGCGGACAGAATTGAGGTATGTGCTAAACATAGTGGAGCATTGTATGAGTTTCAATTCTTACAATCACTTTGTCGAAACAGATAGCAAATAGATTGCAATTGTGAATGCCTTACAATAGAAAACTTAAAATTGAAAGCTACAAAAATTAGAACTATAAGTTTGAATGTATTCAACAGAGAATGTATTCATATTTTTACAGGAGCTCTATACTATACAAGTAATGTTGCAATTTTTTACCTGTAATTCATTAAATTAATCATATATCCGATTAAAACTATACAAGGAAAATATTTTCATTTATTTGTAAATCATATGTATGATATAAAATCCAGTAACTTTATTCAACCATAAAATTATATGATCTCAATTAATCATTATTATGAATTTTCTATAACCTGTTAATACCTATGTAAACGTTAGTTTGAAATCGATCGTAAAAAAATACAATAAACATAAAGATATATTTAAATCATAGATTTGTGCCTTATATAAAATAAAACTAAGTATATTTTCTTAGAATTTCTACTTTGTTCAGTGTTCTTTGTCATATGGCAAAGAAAAAAATTATAACGGAATACTTTTAACTGGTCTCGGTAATACTGGTAAAACAGTGGTATTTGCACGCTTACTGCAATCCAAAACCATTAAGACTTATGCATGTGCAAAAGAAAATACCAAAGATTTTATAGTTTGAATAATCAAATAACATATATCACTTTTACACTTAGCAGATCTTAAAATTGGTTGGTATTCCTGGAAACGAATGTTTACGCTACAAATATTTCAAATAGTTTAAATTATCTGCCAAAGGAATTGTTTATGTGATTGACTCGGTTGGCTTTTAAAAAGATATTCGTGATGTTGCAGCGTAAATAACTACAGGTGATGATATTCTGCAGCAAAAGTAATGTTAAAAATTGTTCATTTTTAGGTACCTATATAATATATTATCTGATCCATCCATAAAAAATAAATTTCTGCTTATATTAATTATTAATATATTAATAAGCAAGACCAACCTCTGTGACAAAAGGTTCTTCTGTTATAAAAACTTTATTAGAGAGAGAAATAAATTTATTACGTATGACAAAAATAAATCAGTTGGAAAGTACAGATGTATCATGCACAAATGTGTTTCTTGGCAAAAAAGAGAAAGATTTTGAATTTTTCCAATTGAGAACACATATAGACTTCGCAAAATGTAATGCATTTAATGATGTTGAGAAACTGAATACTTGGTTGAAAAAGATTTTCTACATTATTTTATTTTTCTATTGTAAATAAAATCAAATAACTGTCTATTTTGATAAGTTTTAAAATACGATTTTATGGATTTATAGATACATTCCAAATAGAAAGTCTGTGGATAAGTATTGGCCTATATTCAATATGAAAGTAGACAATCTGCAGCTTAGTTTAATTACAGTCTTATGTAGTGAATATACTGTTATTTTATATTTATCATTTTATTTCGCAACTTTTTTGGTTATTATCCTTGTATATATTTTATTATATTCTCTTTTCTGTTATTTACATTACATTTATTCTATTATATCGTTTCTGTTATATATTTGAATTCTATAAGCAAACAATAGTGTAACATTCGATCTTTTGCTCGAAAAACTTGTCCGAAGCATTCTTTAAAATCTCTCAAAAATTGTATAGTAGTAATCTTAACATAATAGAGATATCGTTAAACGATTAGGGATAGTTTTCTGATAAAAATTAATCGAACAATAAAGTGGAATAGTCTTTTACTGAAAAATTTCATGTCTAAGTTTCAACCATATAGATTGGGATAGTGTGTACGTGTTACGATATTGTATATGATATTTGTTTTTACACACAAGAAACATCACAACAGCACATATAATTGAATCAAACTAAGAACCGAGAGTAGAAATAAATATAAATAAAAATAGTATACTACAGTACAAAAACTAATAAAACAGCTTCTTCCATCTGGTTAATTTTAAACCGTGCAACAAACAACGCATCTTAAATTGTGCAAACGATTGTACTAATACAAGAGAAAAATTGTATGCTTGATAGTATTACTATCACATTTTTGTGGACTAGATACTTTCTTTAAAATAAATTGAATTCATTACCAAATTCACTAGTAAATGTATAGAATGTATGAAAATTATGTGTCATGACCTCCACGCCTAAAGTTGTGGTATGACCAGCTTGATAGTTATTCTATATTAAAAAATAAGTCCAGAAAAAAAGAGTAACATTTCTTTATTTAAGGCTTTAAGAAAACTGAGTTGGAAAATGCGTCAAATTCGTGTGGCTTGCAGTATGATCAGAAGTAGATTTAATATGTCATGGTCAGACACGCCATTTGATTCAAATTCAATATTATTTTTTTTAACTTAATTTTTCTCGAAAACGGAGGCTTAAATGAAAGAATGTTATTTTTCTTTTTCGGCTTATTTTTACATGTAGAAACATTTCACGGCCTATTGTATCATGATTTTGGGAATACGAATATCGTCGTTTCGAATATCGTTTTTTATGTAGAATGTTAACTTGAGGCTTATGGTTCCTTTTAGACCTTTGTTCCTCTCGATGAATATTATATATATATTGTAATACAAAGAACTTGATCCTTCGACCTTGATTTTCAAGGTCAAGGATAATTTCGCAGGTTATCTTCTTCGCAATCTTCGTGGCATGTAATTTTTATACACCCCGTACATTTGATAGTGAATTTGGTATATAAATTAACATATACAGTAAATTCTCCCTAATTTTCCTTCTACTTGTAAACAACAATGAACAATTTGGGAAGAGGAGATACGATTATTCGAACCTTACACCTCGTTTTTATAATTCTTGACAATCGGAAACTATAAAAATAAGCCGTGAAGCTCGAATAATCGTATCTCCTCTTCCGAAATTGTCCATTTTTGTTTACAAACAAGGATAAACTTGAAAATGCAGACAAAAGAAAAAGAAACTGATATTACAGAAACAAAATTAATACTACAAGTATATGAACAATAAAAAAATCATATAGTAAAATTGAATATTTAATTTAATGAAGGATTTCTGATAAAATTGCAATAGAACAATTCAAAAA